TTGGGCTCTCTCTAAGCTAAAAGACTAATCAAGACAAGGTTCCCGTGCTCACTCTGCGTAGAGAGGTATCAGCTACACCTTACAATTATGTCTGAGGTTGCTGTATCTCTTGTGCAGAGAGAACTTGCTAGTATTTCAGTTTTGGACTGCCCTTATGGGTGGGATCAGTCTAACAGGCAAATAGCATAGGGTTTCTCTCTAATAGCAGAAAACATTTTTGAGATCTGAGTGTGGATTAACCGAAGAGCAGGCAACTGAGATTTTCTAAGCTTTTGTCCATTCTCATAGTTTCTGGTTTTGTTGCAATGTATTCTTTATTTAGACTTAATACGTGATGTGCAATGCATACTTATATACAGAATGCTTTGGCTCCTCCAGCCACAAAGCTGAGAAGCCTTAATGCAAATAATGGAGATGACCAACAGAAGTAATCGGATTAATACCGACCTTGGTCAGAATAACAAGAAGCCTCATTTAGCTGTGACATTGGGATCAGTAATACAATTAGTCTTTCCCAGTGGAAAAATTATTCCAGCGATCCTGCTAATAAGCAGATTGACTGATATTGTTTTCCACTATAAATTATTTAACTATTTGTCAAACTGTGGCAGGATTTTCAAGAAAAAGCTGAAACAAAAATATATATTGTTAAAGGAATGTAAAGGGTTACTTAAAAAAAGAATTATGTTTAAAAATAGCTCTCACTTTGGAGGTAATATAATCTTATAGCAAATTAGAAGTTGTTTTTTTTTTTTTAATTGTGCTTTATTTAATTAAATGTTTTTAAAGATGGAATCAAATTAATATTGCACAGCTACAGCCAGACATCTAGCATAAATGAGCTAAGTCACATGACTCCATGTGTGAGATATCTGGCCTGATGCAATGCGTCATGGGAAAATAAGATGGCAAGCAGGTGTGCACATGCAGGGCTCTCAAAAATGAGTTTTAACAAAACACCTGAAAATGCTGCAAAGATAAGTGGGTATCTTTCACCTTATTCCGGTAAACTATTAAATATGAATGAATAAACAGAAAGGAAAACACTTCTATGACACACTTCGCAACATTCTGAGGTCTACAATCGGGAGGGGGTGCTCTTCCCTGATGGGGACATTACCAGTGATGCAACTCGCACCACCAGTGACACCCATAATGGGTGAATCCACCCAGAAAAAATGGTGGTCCCACCCACTGAAAAGGAGTGAATGCCTGTAGTCCTCTATGCTTGGTCCTAGTGCACAGTGTGAGCTCAACTAATGATACACACGAGTTGTGCTGTTAGCGGCCAAAAAAGTGGGACGGACGGAACAGAATCCCTATTCTTAGGAGGCATGCTATTCTATTTGGACATTATTCTATTGAAATTATCCTTAATTTTGTATTAAAGGATCAGGAAGGCCTTAATTTAAATAATGTACCCATACTTTATTTGTCTGTTCCCAGGTTTATCTTCGGAATACATCACTTTAGGGGCAGCTTCTCCAACTTGGCTGACAAGGCAGAAAGTAAAATTTATTGAAAGGGAACTAAATGACCTTTAATTTCCAATCGTAGCTCCATGCAAAAAACAATTCCCAATCATAGCTCCATGCGAAAACAAAATAACTGGATAGTAATGCAATGCAATATCCTATAAATATAATAGCCTCTAAATACAAGTAGGAAAAGAAAACACAGATCCAAAGTGCTGACATCCAAAGCCTTAATAAAGGTCAGTGACCAGGTAGACATCTTTCAAATGTTTTCCTTAGAAGTGTGAGCTGTAGCCACCCTAAACGATGAGAGAGTCCACTTTGAACGCTCTAGTCAGAAAACTACTAATCTCGGGCTTCACAAGATTTCACAATTGTAGTAACTGTCTACCCATTCAATGTCTGTACCATTAAAGCTTAATCCCTATGATTACCGAAGTGGAAGAGAAACAGATGAAGAGACACTTGCCAAGTTTGAGTATAATTAATGTAGATTCACAGACAAAAAAAAACTCCAGTGTGTACCATTCTTCTGTCTCAGTCGGTTCTGAAGTCAGAAAAAAAGATGGGAAAGACAACTTCCTGTTTAACATGAAATACTGTAAAAGATTAAGGAGCAAAACTACGGCATATTTTGCAAAATCACCTTATCTAGATAGAGCCTCATTTAAAGGAACAATGAAGTGACCATAAAAAGTTCATCGAAAGGGTTAAGATGTGCATTCCTTTTTCACTGATTGACTTAGAGTGACAATAGTCTGCGCTATCCAATCATTGGCACCCATGCCTGCCTGCACTCCGCGCTTTGTGAAACACATTTTGTTGCGGGAACTGCAGATCCGGTGCTGGAGGCAGACTTTGGTGTTAAAGTGTTAGAGAATAAGTAAAAAAGCTCCCAGGGACCTAATTGCACCATAACACCTTCATTTAGATGAAGCTGTTACTGTGATTGGAGTGTTCTTATAAAGTTTTTGGGCAGACAAATCCTAAAATTCTAAACCCCGATAAGCTAAAGTAACTGCAACTGGGGAAAAAGTGTTAAAGGTTTGTAAATTCTTTGGCTAGAGAGAGAGAGACCGTATTTTTCCATGTATAAGACGCCCTCATGTATAAGACGACCTCTATATTTTTAGCCCAAAATTAAGAAATACATATTTTTATACATCTATAGCACTGAAGTCCCCACCAGTCACTTGCCCTCTCACACTCAAGTAGGCAGTTTATCAAGGTCCAGCAACGTCGGGACACTGGTTCCCTGGATCGCCATCCTGCTTTTGGCGGCAACGATGCCCTCTGCATGCGGTACCCTATGGGGGTTGTCCAGGTAAGGCTTCACCTTGCAGCCTCTATCTGTAGTCTGGAGCCTTGAGATCTTGGTGTGGTCCAGAGTGATGCGAGAAAGCATGCGGTAGTGCTAGATCTCCCAGACCTGCGCACACAATTGATCAAATTCACAAGGAAGCACCTCCTCCGCATCAAATATGTAAGCAGGTCGCAGAAGTCTACAACACAGCCTATGCCTGCAGGAAACTGGCAGTAGCAATCCCAAAAGTTAGCTGAGTGTTCGGTCAGCGAGTAGCCAAGTTTTGTGCCCAAATTGTGCAAAGTAAGTACCGTAAGTATTTGGCCTAATAATTAGATTTTTGAAGGAGCTCCAGCCACATGTGACTAGCTTGGTTGGCTGTTTTTTTTAACCCCTGCAGTAACATTCTGTGTTTAAGGCGACCCTCAATTTTAGACTAAACATTTTTAGAAAAAAACATAGTCTCATACATGGAAAAATATGGTAATAATAAAAAAAGAATAATATGTGACTGGGTGAATTCAGCAAAGGCTTCCTTCTCAACCTTAACAATTAAATGTTCCTTGCATATTCACCACTTTTCTTTTTCTTCAGATCCATTTAAATACACACATTCACACACATGCACACGACACAAACTCATACAAACATACATACATACACATAACCAGACACAAACCTTTCTCTACTTATTATCCACCCTCTCTTTCCTGGCTCAGTGGGGGTACTACAAAGGTCTTTGGAAGTGCATGGTACCCCAAGCACCCCTATAGAATTGCCACTGTTGGTTTTGATGCTAATGTTACTTTAGAATACAAAAATAATTCTGCTTTTCAAAGAAGATTGAATACTTCCTCCCCACCTTCCATCATTTTAAGTACTGGGTTAGTTGCATTATAATGTTGATTGAAAAAAATCTGTATTGGTTACCTGTTTTTTAATCAATCAGAACAAAGCTAGAATGTGAATCACAATCATAACGAGAATGTGAATCAGAAAATTATCTGATGTGGGTATTATGTGGCAACTTCCTGTTTGCAGTAAAATTCAGACTTTGTGGGCAATAAAAATGAAAATATATTCTTTTTGTGTAGGTAGATTTTGTTCCTAGTCATTTTATAGCTTGTGAATAATTCCAGTAATAAACGGGTAATAACTGGATTTACCATCCACAGATGAGTCTATTGACTGTTAGGCATAGAAACAAAAATGCACTTTCCTAAAATCAGCAGATTTTTATCAGCTTGATGGAGAACCTCATCTGAAGACCACACTGGTCAGAATTAATTGACCGAACCTGGATCATGCACCAAACAGCTCTATAACTGAAGAGACAGGCAAAGTCTTCGATCGAAATCATCTAATGATAATCTTCGTTCTAAACCATACACTATTTTTCTCTCTTTCCCGTTCATTTGGTCTGCTATCATCAATCTCAACCACTATATATTTGCAATTTCCAAAACACCCAATATGTGCGGCTCTCACCATTTGTAATGGCAATTCATGGGTGGATTAGCCTGACTGTTTTTTTAACAGCATTTTATTGACTTTTCAATTACTCGAAAAGCAGGAGCTGGTGATAAAAGATGAACAAACTGCAATCTATGATAAAAATAAACAGCTTTATTGCAAAGCAGAAGAGAAAATTAGGATTATTTTAGTTTTTGCATTTAACCAAGTACAGGCTTATAGACCAGTATATTAAAATGTTATTGATCCCATAATCAGTCACAGAAAGAGTAGAATGATGTTTAAGCTCACAATAAGGTTTCCTGAAGCAAAACGTCACTCTGTTAGTGTTAATATGAATTCCCGTTTCGAAGATCCTGGGTGCCTGGTTTTACTGTGAGCTATGTGTAAGGTGAAGGAGTATGGCTGCTTGAGACTGTGTGGAACCAGGCTGCCTTCCTAATAGCACATGTGCCATTTCTGTCTGAATACATTGATCATATGCTAACTTTAAAGACTCCTTTGTATTGGATGCACCGTGTAACAGATATGTTTAACCTAGACATATATATGTGTTGTAACACAATTTGCATGATTTTCTCTCTCCAATGTAGGACCTAGGAGTGTGCAGCATTTGTCATAAGGGTGCTAAAGCATATAAAGCAATAGCTAAATCAATTAGCTAAAGCATACATTGATATTTGGGCTGCCAAATTCTTACATACCCACCTATTGCATGCTCCTGCCACCATATAATACCTTTCTACCAGTCATTTTAAGACCAGACCAGCCATCGTATCCTTTTCTAACAGCCATTTTATGAAGGTACCTCCAATCTCATCCTTTTCTACGAGCGATTTCATGACCATACCATCCATCTCATCCCTTTCTACCAGCCATGTCATGACTGTGCAATCCATATCATCCCTTTTTACCAGCCATTTGATGGCCCTACCACCCATCACATCCCTTTCTACCAACTTTTTCATGACTGTACCACCCATCTCATCCCTTTCTGCCAGCCAATTTATGTCCATAACATCCATATCATCCCTTTCTACCAGCCATTTTAAGACCAGACCAACCATCCCATCCTTTTCTAGCAGCCATTTTATGAAGGTACCACCAATTTCATCCTTTTCTACAAGCCATTTCAGTACCGTGCCACCCATCTCTTCACTTTCTACCAGCCATTTCATCCCTTTCTACCAGCAATTTCATGATCATACCACCTATTTCACATGTGATAAAGTGAAGGCAGAGAGGCCTATAACTTTTAACCCCAGGGGGAGTAGGTGCTGTATGTATGGTGTGCAACACAAACCTAAGTTTATTTATGGGGCCCCACGGGTGGAGCATTTGGAGAGTAGGGTGGGCCAATTCTCCACTACTACTGGGAGAAATGAATCCTGGCCAGAGTTTTAAACTGTCTTCAACCCACTGCTCAGCTGAAGATAATCAGCTGCAGCAGTGGGAATAAACCCCTCCCTGCTAGGCAGGTAAAGGGGGATTGCTGACTTCCTCCGTGGAAGCAGATAGGAGAGACACTGTTCTCTCCTGTGAGAGAGTCAAGGAGACTGAGCACTGGGAGTGCAGAAGCAAAGCAATTAAGGCTGGCTTGGAGCACTGGGTGTGCAGAAGGAGGCAGTCAAGGCTGGCTTGAAGCACTGGGAGTGCAGAAAGGAAAGCAGTCAAGGTGACTGAGTGCTGGAGTACAGAGTGTTGTTATCAAATAAGGTTGGTGCAACCCAATGATACGTTTTGTTAGTTTAACCCATGATAGAGAGAGATATTAAAAGTTAGTCAGTGCTCAGACGAGCAAGGTTTTTGTTTAAAGGGAAACCTGTTATATTATTGTTTCTTTAGTTGTGTTGCGGTCTCCTGTGTGGACTTGTCAATAAAATGCCTGGATTATGTGAAAATCAAAGGACTGTGCCTGTTGTTTACCCTAGAGGACCATGCTAACTGCAAACAAGGATCACACATAGCTTTATACCTGCCACGTTATGACCATACCTCCGATCTCATCCTTTCCTACTAGCCATTTCATGACTGTACCACCCATTTCATTCCTTTCTACCAGCCATTTTAAGACAAGACCACCCATCTCATCCTTTTCTAAAAGCCATTTTATGAAGGTACCAACAATCTCATTATTTTCTAACAACCATTTCAGTACCGTGCCACCCATCTCATCCCTTTCTACCAGCCATGTTAAGACCGTACCACTCATCTCATCACTTTCTACCAGCTATTTCATGACTATACCACCTATTTCATCCCTTTCTACCAGTCTTGCTAAGACCATACCACCCATCCCATCCCTTTCTATCTGCCATTTCGTGACCATATTATCTATGCCATCAACTTTGACCTGACATTTCCTGTACACAGCCACCCATCTTTCCTAACCAGCCATCTTCCTCCATGTCTGCTGCCACCCATTTCCTGCGATCGCCTTTCCAGCCTCTGTACGATGCCTCTTGCTGGACACTATAGTAAAATATATCAGCTCCAAACTTTGTAGGAATGAGATACATCCCTTCTCACTCCTGTTCATGTTCATGTGTGTTATCACAACATAAGTTCTAAATGCAAGGAGCATGCAGACTTTCTGTAGATCATGGGTCAGGTGGCAGACTTGGAATTAAGTTCTGATGGGCCGAAGGTGGAATACAGCCTGTACTTAGACTTGGGAGAAGGCATTTAGTTAGGCTTCTTGCCACTGCCCCAAATGTAAGCAGAGTAGCTGTCCATCTAGCCAACTAACCTATTAATGATGGAGCCCTGCAAAGGAAGATATAAGAACCTTGCCATTTACTGAGGAAAGCAGACACAGGAAAACAAATGCATTTTAAAATGTATTTATGACCACCTTTCTTAATCAGGTGCTGCTCTCATCTTTAGGTGTGTTAATAGACTTTACTAGCTCTGGCTGCATTACATTGTGTTTGGGCTTATCCAAAAGAACTTGTGCAAATGTCAGTGCTAGAGAATGGACTACAGCTAAAGAGAGTAAGTAAATAATTTTAGAACATTCAGGTATCAGTGAAGCTACTACAGTTACAAAAAGACACAAGACATAGTTTTGCAGTGGAATTTAAAATCAATAACAAATGCTCTCTAATTCTCATTAGAAAACTAAGGGGATAAGGAATGGCTGAGAGTTCTCAGCCAGTTCCTGATTTCCATTAGAATCAAAAGAGCTAGATCAGATCCCTGGGAAACGCATTCAGAAGTAAGATTTTTTAAAAATATGTTATCTCTATAATAAATTCCACACCATCACTTACAGTTTAGTGAATAAAGATTCTAAATATAGAATATTAAAGTGACACTATAGTCACCAAAACAACTTTAGCTTAATGAGGCAGTTTTGGTGTATAGATCATGCCCCTGCAGTCTCACTGCTCAAGTCTCTGCCATTTACGAGTTAAATCACTTTTTTGCAGTCCTCGGCACACCTCACTGCACGTGATTTACACAGCCTTCCTAAACAATTCCTGTAAAGAGTCATCTAATGTTTACACTTCCTTTATGGCAAATTCTGTTTAATTTTTAATTTCTTGTCTCCTGCTCTGTTATTAACTTGCTCGACCCTACAGGAGCCCCCTGGGAGTGATTAAAATTCAATTCACAGAGCAAATGATAAACATTTTAAAAGTTAAATCTGATTGAAAATTAAACCATTTGTTTTCATGCAGGTTGTTTCAATCTCAGCCAGGGGAGGTGTGACTAGGGCTCTATAAACAGAAACAAAAGTGATTTAACTCCTAAATGGCAGAGAATTGAGCAGTGAGACTGCAGTGGCATGATTTATACACCAAGACTGCTTCATTAAGCTAAAGTTGTTTTGTTGCAATGCCTGCAATAGACAGAATATGGAGTGTTATTGGTGTTTTCTAGTGAGGATTGATGCAGAGAAATTTACTGTGACTCTCTAAGGGAAAAGGTTAGCTGATTCCTAGAGTATTTAAAAAACACTTACAGTTTATTCTTCCTAGTAACAGATAATCAATAGCCACAAACTATCTTTCACTTAAATATGAGTTGACATATTGAAGTTTACATCGGCATGAAATGACTGAACGTCAAAATGGAAAAAATCCATCAATACTTAGTACAAGCCTAACTAGTAGTAAAGTGTATGGACAAATACAGCCAATATGACAAAAGGCTATTTTAATTTGTAACCAGGGGTTTATTCGCTAAACAGTGATTTGTGATGAGTTGACAACCAAGTTGCTAAATTTCGGCCAAAAAAACACTGAATTGGGAAATCTACCCAACTTGTGTATTTTAGTCTAAAATGTTCATATGATTTGCATATTTTGAAATTTCAAACCTTGTTTATAAGAACACACAGAAGTGGGCAAAAAATATTACCTTTGATCAAGTTGTTCAAATAAGTAGATACTCTCCTGTGAACTGTCTATTCGCTATTCACAACCACCGGGCTACTAATGAATATCACTTGAGAAACAAAAAAGGAAAACACTTTTCAAAAGTGCAGACAAAAAAGACTTTTAAAGAAAAAAATAGGGATGGAACAGCGCTATCCAAACTGATCACAACGGGGAGGGGGAGGCTGCACACCTGAAAAGAAGGGTAACCATCAAAACCCTTCAAAGGACTGGAAAAACAGAAAACAACAAGTACAGGGTGCACCAAGAACAAAGTAAATAAATAAAATAAATAATAGAAAAAAATACCAGGGAAACAGGCAAATTAAAGTCTCTAATTCACAGGTATATTCTTCAGAAATTCTCAAGATGTCTTGGGTCAAAGCCTCATCAACCTATATGAAAGAAAAAAGCACACAGAGGGGACCAATGGTGCAGTAACTTAAAGGAGTATGACAACAGACAACACTGAGATTAAGAAATGCCAGCTCACATTTATGGGAGCTATAACCAGTTTGAGTTAAAAAAGCATATAGTGGTATTTAAACTCCCCACATGTAGAATATTCCTCTGACGATATTTTCAGTGCAGGTCATATGAAATAAAAACACAAGAGAAGGCCCATAGTGCTCTCTATATTAAAAAAGTGCTGGATAAAATAGGAGATGTACTTACAATTTACAGAGCAGACAAACCGCTCTGTGTAATGCGCCTGGGTGGAACAATCCCCACCATGGATTCTTTGGATGGTATAAAAGCTTCAGATGTTAGGATATGCCAGGTAAAAAATTAAGAATAAATATAAAAGTATTTAAAATTAAAGAGGCTAACCAAAATATTAGGTAGTCAGAAAAAATAATTTTATTTATATTAAAACACAACACGTTTCACCACAAGGGGCTTCTTCAAGTGTACATCTTGATACTTTGTTCTTGGCGCACCCTAAAAAAGACTTTTACCTTTATTAAATTATTAGTATCCTGAAAAAAAATACAGGGTACAAAACCACTGTATACATTTACATGGCAGGGGGGATTGCAATAGCTAGATGTGTTCTGCACACACTACACTCTGTCACAAAAGTAACAGTTACAGCCATTCTCATTTTGCATGTATTTCCTTTTTCTGTAAAAATGTCCATTATCCTGCTTTGTTTAGGGAATTTATTTCTGCCATACCTTCTCTTGAGGATACATGAATATACTGAGATCTTGTATCCAGTGTTGTCACTAAGGTTTATCAACAAGTTTCTAATCTCTAATATGGGAGTTACTAATGTTAGCAAGTGCCAGCTGCTTCCATACTAGAAAATCTGACCAGATGAGACTGTTGAGTACCATCTGACACAGGTTTTACCATCTACCAGAGAAAATAATGGGAGACGATACTTACCACTTCCATGCTAGGCTGTAATAAGGTGTAAATAGACAAAGTTGGAAATTTGTTTATATATATATATTTGATGTATTTATTTTTTTACTTACCTCTGTTATTGATTACAAGGAATTGGTTTTCTTGGATTTAAAGATTTCCATTAATGATCAGAATTGATTAACGACCAAACTGCATCGTGCAAATACTGCCACCGTTTTCTCATTTGGCACAGTTATCAACCCCTGCCACTAAAATGGGGAATTCAGGCAAGAAGGAACTACAGCAGAGATGAAGACTTCTTAGAGAAAGCTTCTATTACGGAACAATTCTTTTTTGAAAAGGGCTACCCTAGGAGGCTGCTGAACAGATCTTTCAATGGGACCAACAGCTTGAAA